GATGAAATGAAAAAATCTTTTACCTAAATTAGCAAAGAATTAAAATGGTAACGTATGTATCATGACTATATTATTATTTGAAATGACAGACCTGATATAGAACAACAATTGTAGGGTTTTGGCAACCATACAAGAATTTTAGATCCAAAGCTTGAGGCTCAAACCTGACAAAAACCACAAAATAATGAACTATCAGTCAAAGAAGAATAGCTCCCATGATCAACATCATGAGATCCCAGGTGAGACAGAGTCGGAACCACGACTATTCAGCAATCCTCCTACATAGAGAATAGGATATACTTCTTAGAAGCATAATTTACATACACGGTCACTACCAAGAGATATGTAGGTTGGTTGATACACAAAATGAGGTCACATCGGGTGTATTTAAAGCCCTTCACCGTATAAAATGATACAGTCCAGAAAGAATTTCACTTTCTTCGCCTCAAAAAGGAAACGTTAAAGAAAGAGAACTCGAAGTGCAGCACAACAAATTTTAAAAAACTGAGGAAAGAGCAGTCCAGTAGTCCTTGTAACTTTTCATCTACAGCTTCAAGTAGGTAAGCTAAACAGAATAACAACGTATAATACAGGAAAAGTGAATTTTGGAATGCCAGCACATCCATGAACAAAAATCTCTATGAGTTGATCTGCAGTTAACATTTGAAATCTACAAGTTGTCCTGCTGAGGTCCTAATCTGGATTGTTTTCGCGTATTAAGCATTGATCTCATAGTTCAAAGTATATTTCACTATTTTCTTGGTGTTTAATCGAGGTTTTGCTCACAGAAATATAGCAGCCCTGCTCCGCCATATCAACCCCACAGGCCTCGTCCATCATTATTTAACATTAGAATGGAGTATTTCACAATTAGGCAGGTAGATCCTGAGTAGGCGCATTGGTTGAGGTTAGGAAAAGTAAACTGGCCCAACGACTTGAGAATATTTAACAACAAATAGAGGACGTTACTTAATTTTAGGAGATAATAGTAGATAAGTTATCTTCACAATCTTGTAAAGGTAAATCTGAGGATACCAGATGCTAAAAGCTTCCTTCAGTTTGCCTTCCTCACCAAAGGGAATAACCTGTTGACAGTGAAGCCCAGGTGAATCTTTTACAAACAAAAAGATACCACCACAAAATCTAATCCAGCAAACACTACACCCTATGAAACGAAGACCAAAGTACCCAAGTTTTTTCGAGTCTAGTAAGGATGGTACCTTAAACAATCCATCATAGAGATGCAGTCCAATCAATCTGCAGTCCGGATCAATTATACCAATCTACCAAAAGAAAGAAAAAGAGTAAGGGGTAAATAGGGTCTTGATATATAGATAATCTCATTGACGAAACGAGAAATCAATCAGTTTGTTCCTTTAAATTACAATTATATTTAAGGGCATTTGGAAAAGAATACCTGACCATTATCCGTGGGATGGCCTGTTTGATCTGAGACATCTCCCTTTGTTGTGCAAATAAAAGCAGTAAGAACACCACAAAGAGGAGAAGTTTTGAATTTGAGAAGAAATTACCAATCAAAGAAACAATTTGAGAAGCAAATTAAATTCACTGACTACAAAAGATATGGAGTGAAGCAAATGATAGAGGAAAACTTTCTACCGGGAATATTTAAAAGAAAATAAATAAAAGAAAACCTTCAACTAGTGGCAATAACACAAGGCATATAGAAGCTAGAATAACTCCTAGATTCAATTTTCAAGAAGGTTTCATGAATAAACAACAACCTTTTGTTGGCTACTTTGACTAAGTTTTCTACGGGACCAAGCAAATTGCCTTTGAAGGCTTCAATAAAATGGATATAAAGATGAAGTATACTGTACCGAGATTCATGCATGCAACCCACAAGTACGAAACACAGTTTTGCAGGCTAACCTTGTGATAACTTCATGTGCCTCAGCATCCCACTGAAGGACACAATATTCATGTCGCTCAGTTGTGATGAAGAGAAGATCTTGTGTGTCACCCTGCCAAGATAACCAGAAAATATGATAAACCACACGTGGCTAAAAGAAACCTTTTTGTGTCCAATACATTTAGCAGGATAATAATGAGCTACTTAATCAAAGGATGTCAACTCACATTAGGACGGAAAAGCTCAAGTGTGGCAATTCTCCCATATAAAGGCACATCTAACATAATCTG